GATATTTTGTAAATTCCCTACCGTAAATATATCAAAACTTAATTTTTGATTAGTAATATGCATTGCTAAGAACTTCATTTGGACAACTTTAAAGGCATTTTTTTTTTTTCATTCATTCATTCGTTATTTAGTTTTTTTTGCACCCTCAGATTCCAGATTTTCAAATAGTTGTATCTATTTGTAAAAATATTGTCCTATCCTAACAAACCATACATCAATGGAAAGCTTATTTATTCCGTTTTCAGATGATGTATAAATCTCAATTTAAAAAAACTGACCCTTATGACTGGTTTTGTGCTCCAGGGTCTCTTAAAATAGGGTCTATTTCTTAAATATTTGAACTTCAAGCTTAAACTTAGATTATCAACTATTTCTCAAAATCCATGCAATAAAATGTACCCAGTCGATATTGTCCAGCCAGTTGTCTCTGATATCTTTCTCTTTGTTGACAAAATAGTTTCCCTCTGAATCAAAGTGTCCCTCCTGCATTTCCTCGACGAGATTAAAAGGGGTAATGCGTACACCCTCCTCATAGTCAATGGTTGCCATTTCCTGACCTGTAAACACAAAGAAAGTCTAAGATAAGTAATATTTTAAATTATGTAAATCATAAATAAAAAACAAGCAATCTAGTTTAAAATTACTTTGTCATTTCTCAGCCTTTTAAATAGCAGGCACTACAAATGTCTAGAGGAAGAGCCAAAAAAACATTCTGCAATGTGCATAACATTTATTTTATTATCTGCATGAGGCCAAATTATTATTCACAGACCTTCCACATCGTCACTGGCAAGGATGTCATATTTGCTGCTATTTTCTCCATCCTCTCCTTCATCTTCCTCATCACTGTCCAAAGAGTGTTTCTCCTTAAATCTGCATCCTGGGCCACTCACACCATCAACAATCTGGAAAAAGACATTGGATAGAGCAGAACAGAGCATGCGATTTCACAGAACAGCACAATCTATTACAACAGAATAACAATATGCATGGTGATGCAACAGAACGCTTTGACAACATTAAAGAGTTCTATGGAACCAACCTTCTTCTTCGGAACATCTTCCAAAGTAATCTCCCCATCTCCATCCTCAAATGTCACTTTCCTCTTCGACATGCTAAAAGAGGCATAAGACAGTTGACTACAGTTTTGTTGAGCGTGTATAGTGTTACTCATCTAGTATACACTGTCAAAGTTGGTTACACTTTATTTTGATAGTCCACTTTAAACATTCTACTAACTATGAGTAACTTTGCAACTACATGTCAACTAATTCTCATTCATTTGCAACTACATGTCTACTAACTCTCAGAGTAGACTGTTAGGTTAGGTTTAGGGTTAGTAGAATAAGTTGACATATACTTGCAAAGTTTCTCATAGTCAGTATGATGTATGTCGTGGACCCATCAAAATAAGATGTTAGAAGATATTAAGCAGACAGTCTACTAATACTCTAATGACTGCTAGTTGACATGTAGTTGCGAAGTTACTTACTGTTAGTAGAATGTCTAAAGTGGACTATCAAAATAAAGTGTTACCTGAAAGTTGTATACTCTTAGCATAACTCTGAGACTCCATAACAGATTGAATTCATGAAACCTGTGCATATGGAGTGGTTTAAGGTTTAAAGCTAATTAGCGAGACTTCGTATAAAACCAAACTAATAGCAGTTGACTAGAGGGCACATAACTGCATGCCTACACAGCATAAACTCCACCTAAAATTAGATATTAAAGAATTGGGCCTATACTTTATGCACATCTTCAAAACTGTGATAATATATAATAACCTAATACAAACAAAATTTGATAAAGTATCACATTTAATTGTTCAGTATTTACACCACTGCTGTGCAATGCGCGAGCTAATGCTGCGAGCGTGTGCGTACGGAGCGCGTAACTTACGTCAAAGTGTGCCAGCTAGCTAACGTATATAAAAACCGTATAGAAAATACACTTTAGCTCGACCTACACAGACGCTTAACAGACTGGTCAGATGTAAAAACAAAAAACAAAACAAAAACAAAATACAGATAAGGAATGAACCCATGGTAAAAGGTTTAGTTACCTGGATGTTATTCTCCCCGCTGCGCCATTCAAGCACGCTAAAACCGGAACAACGTCATTCGCGAGATTCTGTCCGACTCTCTATCGCCACCTGCAGGTGAACCGGATTAATGACACACACTGCGGTTAAAGCACTTCTGTGACCTGACGTCCATCACTTGATCTGCTCGGAAATTTTACAAAAACCTTCTGATTTACGTTTCCAAATGATTGTTCTGTTGTTTTCAGATGAGTGTCTGATGTTACAGTTAACACTGGCTTTTATGCTTTCTGGGAAAATCTCACTCTTTGGATAGAGAAAAACCTCTTTATTGTAATTATAATGCGTCTCTATGAAAACTAAATACAGAAAGGTGTATTTGAGAAGCAGAACAACTGTGCAAAAGCCAGCATTTGCAAACGCACTGTTCTGATATAATGTATCTAGTAAATATTTGATGACAGCCAGAATTAGAAACATGAATCGATAATATGCAGAGTATCTGTTTTTATTTATTCATAAGCGCTTACTTCCCTCGTTTTTTTTGTCTATAGATAAATTCATTAATAGCCTGTTTGTTGGGGCTGTGAAAGCGCACATGTCGCTGCTGTTTCATCATGAAGTCTAAAGAGAACAGGGCATCGGCTTTTGTTACCAGGAAGTGCGTCGCGTTATTTATATTTCAACACTTGCGAGACCGGCGTGAGGGCGCGCGCTGGTAATACGAAACTTATAATATCACTCTTTATACGATTCCCCGGGATTGAGGAGCTTGGCCTGAAGTGATGTTTTGCCACTAAGGTTGTATGGATATCCACGATAAATCAACGCAAAGACACTGACAAAAGTAAGTTGCTGCACCTGACAAACACTGAGCCGGTCTGGCAATGTTCCGGTCACAGTTCTATGCCACCGTTTCCTTGTTTATCCTTTTAAAAAGCGCATATAGCTGCTTCAAGGACACATACTATTTACGTGGCAACATATACTGTCTAGCACACTGACAGACACCGCGTGAACCGAATAGACAAGTTATTCACGTATGATTTCATACTTGCTTAGAATTAAATGCACGCGGGGTGTTTTTTTTTTGTTTTGTTTTTTAAAAAAAAAAAAAAAAATGAAAGAAATTGACGATGGCAAATTAGATTCATCCATGGGTTGTAATTTCTGTTCATGTAAAGCTCGCGCCAGGACACGGCTGCACGCCAGGTGGCGTTGTAATGAAGATCCATGAGAAGATTCTAACCCATTACCTGTCCTGCACTTCACCTGTCGATAAAGAGGGATATCTTTACAAAAAGGTAAGGACCTGAATGTGCCAATTTACCAAGATATAATCAAACTAATCTAGAATGCTAGTTTGAAAAGGCTGAATCTATCTAAGTCTCCTTTATTTGTATACTATACACTTTATACAATACAGATTGTGTCAAAGCAGCTTTACAGTGTTAAACAGGTAAATAGTGTGTCGATAAAGCGGGAAGACAATATAGTAAACAGTCCAGTTTTCAATTAAAGTCAGTTCATCATTGATTCAGTGATGTCATCGTACAGCTCAGCTCAGTTCAAATAGTATCTGAATCAAGCCGACAATATTGGCAGACATTAAGTGTCCCCAACTAAGCATGCCAAAGGACGACAGTGGCAAGGAACCAAAACTCTATCGGTGGCAGAAATGGAGAAAAAACTTGGGAGAAACCAGGCTCAGGCTCAGAAACGCAGTTCTCCTCTGACCAGTTTAAGAGTGTTGCGAGTGAAACTGCCTCGCATGTCAGATTTGTTTACCATGCAAGCCGGGTTTAGGAAAGTGAAGTACATTATATCTGAGACATCTTATCTTCTTCATGCTGCATTGCAGACTTTACCTTCAGGATCCTTGTATAGAGCTCTTTACGCAAAAAAAGAAAAAAAAGCAAACAGATTTATATTTTCATTTTTTGTTAAATATGCTATTTACATGCTCAAATCAAATAGGAAAATGTAGTTTTAGGTTACTGTACAATTTGAAATAAATGGTAAAAGTAATGATAATAGTGGCAAGCAGGACTATATGATTTGGTAATTAAATAGTTATTTTAAATGATTTCTAATAATAATCTGTTCAATTATCAATATTTCAGAACAAACCTAAAAATAAACCACCCTCTCTATCCCTAAATTATACCACGGGAGAAACAGGACTGTTACACTTATTTAATACACATACTTAAACTTATTAAAAGCATGCCATTGGCCTATTTCCTAATTAGTGACACTAATTCAGGTTCAGAATATATCAGTCCTTTTGCATTCCAAAAAAAAAAAAAAAAAATCACATCTCCAGCTTTCCTCTGTGCTGTAGACTCTGGAATAAGTTTCTCTCTCTTAAATGAATCATAATTGCAATGACTTCCTTGTCCTACCTGTGTTTCTCGATCTATTACCACATTTCTTTTCCGCAGAGAGAGAGGAACACCACTTACCTGCGCCGCTGGTTTGTGTTGAAGGGGAATCTGCTGTTTTACCAGGAGCGTCCAGGCGATCGTAACCTGTTGGGTGTGATTGTTCTGGAGGGCTGCCTAGTGCAGGCGTGTGAGACGGATGGTCAGTTCTGTTTCTCTTTGGTGTACACTGGACCAGGACTCCGCACGTATAGACTAGCCGCTGATGACCATCTCAGCCAGGAGAGCTGGATCGGTGCGCTGTTCTGCGCCAGTCACATCTACCTTTCCATGATTGTCAGCGACCTGGAGAGACGCTACGAAGGTGCGTTTATCTGTATGTGTTTTTTCTGTGTCTACTGGCTTGAAGACAATTAACATGTCTGATTGCATTTTTTTCATGCCCTCAACAAAACAGAAGCTAGAAGAGACAAAGGCCTTTGTGATTCCATCCAGACCTCAGCAGTAACTTCTACACCCAATAAGATAATGGCTTCCTGGAACTCAGGACAACCCTATTTCGTACATGGGACTTCCATAGTGCCCAGAGATGGGCGGAGCTACAGCACCAGTTCTGTACCACCTCCATCTATGCCGAACAGACCCGTCAGCTATAGTCTTCATGCCCCTCCTATTCAATTCAAGACTACCAATAAGCGATCTCCAAAGCTCTGGCCCAAAAGAAATGCACATGTCACACCCTTAAATGGTCCGGCACCATCTTATGGGGAGTGGCCCGTTGTGAACTTTGATCCTTTGGAAGAGTTTAGTAAACTGCACGAGTACTATGGAAATGAGATTAAGCAACTAAGAGCTGATTGGCTGAAGAAGAAGCGCAAGGAAGTGGCACACGTCGAGGAGGACCTCATTGATCTTGGCTAGAGCAGCATCTGATATATATGAATGCTTATATCACATCTATGCATTTGTTCATGTTGTCGTCTAAATAGTAAATCTTAATCTAAAACAATAGATTGATGAATGTATTAAGATGCAGTACTAGTAGAATCCTGCTGTCTTTTTAATTTTATGAAGGCCTGCAGATTAACACTGACTGACACTGGTCTTGTGGCTTTTTTTTTGATAAAACGTTTCTCATTTCCTCTCTGTGGTCTCTTAGCCTAGTTCCTTCTCGCTTGAACTGTCATAAAGTAGACCCAAACCGCCAGTAGCTTTACCCTCACTGTTAAACTAACTATGTGCAGACATTTACAATGGCAAAAGTTCATATTGGATCCAAAGTACTTCAGATACTGTCAAATGAGGTTTGATTAGAGACTACACGTTAGTTGTAGAGCTGTAAATGCATGATAATAATAATTCATATTTAATTTGTTACATCTTTTAAAATATGTACTGAGAGAGCCTAATCAATAATGTGATCTTGTGAAGTGACTGTTTAGTTCTGCCTTACAGAACGTGTTTCACACAGTTCAGGAGGTTTCGCAAACAAACTGAAATACACGCCCTTTATATTCTTCCTCTTTCACAACATCTCAATTCTTTGGGGATGTAGATGTGCCTTTTTTCTTTTAGTTTCTAGTATACTCAACACATTTGGAACGTTAAACACATTAGAAGCAGCAGTTCTTTATATTAGTCATATCAGTAAGCATCAAAATAAACTGTCAAGTTTGTATGCATTAAGCATTTCAGAGGTGCAGCTCTTTATACTGTAGGTCACCAGAGGGCACTGCACTTCACCAACAGTACTACTACTACCTTTATTCAGCCCTACTTCAGGCACAGGGGTCACTAGTTGCTTCACAACTGATGTTTGATTATTTAATGTTCTACATGTAATTATATTTGGATGATATCAGTAATGTTGGACATGTTTTTATTCACAGTTTCTATGACCACCATGCTCAATGCATTGTCTTAATTGAACATAGATCAATTTTGTTATAATGCATTTCATTTGATTCATTTTGATGATAATTTGTTTAGGGATACATTTGATTGTTTTATCTAGTATTTGTCCTCGAATGTAAATTATAATCAATTCTGTAAAAATAAGTTTCACTTAATGCTAAATTAATTTAATAAGTTACATTTTGAGTCTGTATTTCAGCCCTGCATATTGCACAGCATCAGTAAGAATATTTTTTAAATCAGTAGGGTTGTTTGGTTTATTCAATGTTAGTATCTATTTTATTGTATTTAATTCAACTTTTGTTGTGAACTATTATATTATTGTATCAATCAAATTCGAATAAAAGTCCTAATAAATTGTTCTGTTAAGATCTTGATGTTATTTTATTTATTTTAATGTGGACAGATTCATCTTTAAATGTTGTGAGCAGATGTAACACAAAAATTCCGTAAAGGTCGATATTGTGGTTAGTATAATGATTCATGAAATCACGTTATGAAATTTTATAGGGATTCTGTGACATACATCAGAGCTCTGACAACAAAAACCTAAAAATGCCTTAAGTGTTGGATGCAACATGATTTCAACCATGACATCTACGTTCTGCAGACTTCAGGTATGTCAAACCCCTACAGCGACGATGTGGCCTTTTTCACCTCATCCGGATTCCAGATGTCTCTGCTGTGATAAACAGCTTTGACGATACATGTCAGTAGATCACGTTACACGTAACATGTACTGTACGTATAGACATGTACACTTTGACAGTCCATAAACAAAACAAAGATGACTGACACAGTGGCCTACAGGCCACCCTGTGAAGATACTAGATCACAGATGTGTACACACAACCTGATCAGTCATCGGTCAGACATACTTGAAAAGGTTCTACAATGTACTTGTATTGTGTTTAAGAAAATCATTCTATTATGACATGAAATATCTCGTATCAAGGCCTACGCTTCCACTGACCCAGACTTTCCCTCCCCTCCCTGTTAATCTCTCTCATACACATTGAATGCTGTTCCACCATATATAGTTATAGGAGGGGTGTATTAATATAGCATATGCTATACTATATCTAATTTGAGAACCTGCCTAATCATTCAGCTGCTTTTTCAATGACTGCAAGAGTTATCAATGTAACCTTAACATTAAATCATTACTAATGATTACATTATTATGCATATATATTAGTTATTTACAGGAAATGCAAGAAAATAAAATGTACTGTATAAGCATTTTCTTTTACAGCTTATTATTACCCTTTTAAGCTTATTCATTACAACTTACATGACTTTCGGACTTTAACAGTCTCTCCATAAAAAATGCCACTCTATAAATAATTGCAGTTAAGCTATTCTATAGGAAAAAATTGCTGAAATGAACTATGAAAGATCTGGGCAAGATCTAGCCAGGGGAACAAAACACGTAAAGGACAGACTCACAAGGTATCGAATGAGCCTAAAGGAGGAAAGGAACGCAAAACAAACTGTGGCGTTGCTAGAAGTGGACGAGGAAGTGAATGATGGATTGAACAGAGAAGAAAAGGAGAGCTCAAGGAGCAGACAGGTTTGTTTTGCTATTTTGGTCACTCTCAGCTGTCCATTACCCCCCGCCTTTCCAAAAGAACCTGTATTAAGCCTCAGATTTCCCTTCATGTGTGTCCCATACCAACCCCTCACTGGGCTGCATTGTGCTGCTGATCATCTCAAACAGAAAGAAAAGACGATAATTATGTGCCCATACACAGAGCAGCTTCACAAACTGCACCTCACAGTGACTGCAGAGTGACCGAGCGAGGTCAAATAGCTCCAGGGGGAGAGAGGGTGCTGAATTTGGGCATGGCCATGTGGCGGGGTGAGGTGGGGGGACTTGGACCCAAATCTTATGGCATCACTATACTAGGAAAGGCATTAAAACCTATTTTTGATTGGGGCCGATTTGGAAAGAGGTGACAAGTGTTAAGATGTTACATCGGCCTCTTACATTTCAGATGGGGGCGTGTACGCATATGTGAACAAGATAATCATTGGCTCAAAAAAATCTCTGGATTTACATCAATCAGTATCTATTATTGCAACCTCCCCCATTCCAACCCCAGGATTCAGATGTAACACTGAAAACCAAATATTGATCCGCCACTAATCTAAACATAGGTGTGAGTCTGATTACAGCCTGATTACAGCCCATTCATTTCAAATTGCTTGAGTTATGCGATTGTGCAAAGCTCAAACAGGCCCTTACGTCTCCATGTCCTTATTAGTCTACGTGAGACACGCAGACTGCTGCCATCAGTATCAGATTCATCCCATTCCAAGACTCTAATAGCTATTTCTGAGCACTGTAAGATGATAGTGCATCCCACCCTGTGTTCCTTCATCGCTTTACCCCTACCTCATCTCTCTTGCCTTTCATAGTTTTCCCTGTCTCTATTTCTTCCCTCTGTCTTTCTCCCAAGCCACACTTAAGGTTGGATCTATAATTAGCAAGGGGCCTTCGGCAGTATATAAGCCCCCCAGGAACAAGTCACCACGCGGCTTCAGTCTTCACTTCTTGAGCTTCTTAGACTTCACACATACCGTCTCTCAGCATGGTGAGTAACCTGAACCTTAGATGTTACCTGGCCACACCATCTAGGTGAACACATAGGAACCAATGACATAATGTCTCAGCAGGGTTGAATGGAAGAGAGCTTGCATTCTGAATCAGCGTCTGATTCTTGGATAATTGAACTGTGGACTTATAATGCATTTAACAGGATATGATAAACTGGGCATTTTTTCTGAAGCTGTTCTTTCTGATCCTATGTTGTTGGAACTAGGACCAGCAGTTATAAACTACTAAACTGAGTGGTTTTGCTTTCACTTCCAATGACATATGGGATTTTTTTGTAATTTTCTGTAAGATGTTAAATTAAGAATATATAGAATATTGCAAGTTTTACCAGAAAGCATAATGTACGAATGTAAAGCTAATGAATTCAGTTTTATTAATCATTGAGGAGCGACCTATGTAAAGATCATTATTTTGATGTATATCGCATGTAAAAATGTATGTTTCATTAGAATGTGGCTGAACAGGGTTTTATGAACAATAAATATGTTAAAATGTCTTATGAATAAGTCTCGTGTCTCTAAGCTCTGTGTGGCATTGCAATGTCAATGCATGATTTTCTGTTTTCTGTCATTATGTATTATTGTCAACAACAGGAAATATGCACTATTCAGCTGTGCTGACTGTTAAAAAATATATATATTTCTTTCTAGTCACCCAAGAAGGCCAAGAGGAGGGCAGGAGGAGGAGAGGGTTCCTCCAACGTGTTCTCCATGTTTGAGCAGAGCCAGATTCAGGAGTATAAAGAGGTAAATATTTTTTCAGATCTTATAATTAATACAAGTAGACTCCATATTTTTAAGACATTATATATTGTAAATATGTTTAGTTACATTTTCACTTTTTTATATATTATCAAAGTCCAAATGAGACTTCTGGGGGTAAATGTTACCAGACATAGACCTTATCATAGATGTTGCTACTGAACTGGAATTCTAATTCTAATATGATCAAATTCTGTTATCAGGTTAAAACGTATTCGTATTAAGGCTTGTTTGATGGTCAGTACAGCAAATGGACTGAGTCAACAGACTGACATCATCTAGTCTTTTTGTGTTGTCTGCTAATATCCAAAAAAAGAAAAATGCCCCAGCCTTCCTCTTCTCTGCCCTCCCATCTGTCAGACACTCCTGAACTCCTGATCCCAATGGGATGGCAGCTGAGGATCATAGTGCATGCCAGAGGGACAGAAAGAAATCATGTGTAACATATGATGGACAAGATAAAAGAGAAGGGAAAGTGGAAATAAAACACAGTTAATGAGGATTATGTTTAAGGGCCCTTTGCAGGAAGGGAACATTAAATGCGTATTAGACTTCTGAATGGACCTTGAAATGACAAATAATACACAAAATAAATACCAGGGAAAAAAAAACAGATTTACTAGTAGTTGACTATACTTATGGCTGTTAGACATTGTGATTAATCTAAATTAATTTCATTATCTCAGACACCAAGTAAAAAAGTATGTATACGCACATGCTAAACGGGTGAGTTGACTGGAATTATCATCAGGCTAGTGTGCGACTGAGCTAAGTAAGGATGTGAAGTGGTTTGAATGGTTTATTAATAAATGATACAGCCTTCTCAAGTGTCTCTCCAGGAATGTCTGACATTTGGGATTGACTTAACACGTCTCCCAGATGGAAAGGAGGATCAGTGAGGGTCTCTGTGGGGGCCAGGTGGGAGTTAGCAGCTGCTGCTATTCAAGTCCCTTCTTGAGTTTCATGTGACTGAGAAGGACGTTTTACTACTGCCAGGGAAGAGAAAAAGCTACAAGGGGAAGATTTCTTGTTAAATCAACTCTTTAGTCATTGGTTTGCAGCTGTGAGCAGCCTCATTTTCCACCAACTCCTGTAACAATGTGCTTTTTTCTGTCCTGCATGCATAGGCTTTCACAATCATTGACCAGAACAGAGACGGCATCATCAGCAAAGACGACCTTAGGGACGTGTTGGCCTCAATGGGTGAGTTGTGTCTTGTGTCACTTGTGTCCTTTGTAAATATATCCATGAATGTGTGCTGACCATCACTGTCTCTCTGTAGGCCAGCTGAACGTGAAGAATGAGGAGCTAGAGGCCATGATCAAGGAAGCCAGCGGCCCAATAAACTTCACCGTTTTCCTCACCATGTTCGGAGAGAAGCTGAAGGGTATGTAAAAGTCCCTTTTACTGCCTGTTTTCCCTTTGGTTTTCCAATCATTGTTGTATTCAGTCAGTGTAACTCACTCTCCGTGTCTCTGAAAGGTGCTGACCCCGAAGACGTCATTGTGTCTGCCTTCAAGGTGCTGGACCCAGAGGCCACCGGCTTAATCAAGAAGCAATTGTAAGCCTATTAACTCACTCTTTATTTCAATGTGCCAAAAAAAATCTATGTTTCCATCTCTGACTGATATTCGTTCTCTCTCTTTCCAGCCTTGAGGAGCTTCTGACCACTCAGTGCGACAGGTTCTCCGCAGAGGAGGTGAGATCAGATCTTACTCTTCATAGTTTTACATCAGCATGAGATCTACTTTCTAAATACATGTTATTCATCTTTTTGTGAACGATTCATCCGTGCAAAAGTTTCACTTTTTTTTTTTGAGCTCGTAATTTTTTATCAGAATGTCATAACTCGACCTTACAGTGAAATTACAGACTTTTCCAATCATTTAGTCCATTTAAACTCTGCCCCTTTCTTACAATCAATCTCAAGCTCGCATTCAGATCTGCTTCCATCCAATCAACAACCGATGAACAGAATTAAGTCCCGCCCTACTTTTTTTTGTTCTTCAATTTTCCATTTCATTTGGATGTACGTCACAATGCATTAAAAAAAAAAAGATCTGTCGCTATTTCCGTTTCATTGCACCTTTAATATATTTTTCTGGATTAGATGTGATCTGATACTGATTAGATCCGAATTCTTTGTTCTTCATCCATTAGATGAAGAATCTGTGGGCCGCCTTCCCCCCAGATGTTGCTGGCAATGTTGACTACAAGAACATCTGCTACGTCATCACACACGGAGAGGAGAAGGAGGAGTAAACGGTCGTGGAGACAAGACAGAAAAGGAAGAGATGAACGTGCATCCCTCACTGCTTAACTCTCCCAGTCTGTTCTCTGTCCTCCTCTTACTTTGTGCTTCTTCCTCCCTTTCTTCCTTTCCATCATCTTTGTTACTCTCTAGCACTTACTCTCTCCATCTCTCCAAAGACTTGTCTCGCTGAGGCTGAATTGGGAGGGTGGAGAGGCTCATGACCACGGTGTCTGTCAAGTGGGGTTATGGGATTGTTTTCAATAAAATGAACATCATTTCTGTATCTCTCACACTCTCTCTTTCTCACTCATTACCCACGACCACCTCTCATGCATTAAAGTTGCTGCATCTTCTGCTGCTGTCTTGAGGGTTGAAGGCATCTATAGCTTTTGGCTGAAATCTCTCTCTAGATAAACGTGGAAGAGTGCTCATTCTAAGGGAAAAAGGGGCAAGAGGGATTGATCTCACTCTATAATAGAGGAACCAGTCATCATTCTTGTTCTTTCCCTTGATAGTTGACTAGAAAAGAAAGCGAAAATGAGGGTTTTGTACCGAGAGAGCTTGGCCTCCTAAAAGTGTTGCCAAGCTTATCATGGAGGGAGTGAGAGAGACAGACCATCCAAGGAAGAGAGGAGAGCGGGGACTGAAAGAAAACATATCCTCTTCACTCCCTCTCTCCCCTCTTCACTATTTCTCGGTCCATGTTTTGTTTTTTGTTTTTTCTACCCTTTTGCTTTCTGCATCTGGGCCTGCTTTGCTCTGTCAGAAACTCTTCTGTAACCAATAAAAAGACACAAACTGTGAATAAAACATCTTTTTGTAATGCTGTGTCTGCTGGCTGTGTGTGATAGGCAGGATGAAACTGTCTCTTCTGTAATTACAGAGCATTGAGATGGTAATATAAGTTAGATTACATAAGACTGCAGAGGTCTATGATGCAGTAAATCACAAGGGTGACCAGCAGTATATGAGAACATACTGAGAACATGCTATCTGCTGGACAATGATAGTATTACAACTGCAATAATAGCATATCTGCTCCGTCACAATTGCTTCCACATCAGTCCAAAAGGTTTTTAATATTTTCAACATTAATTGCTCGTCTTCTAATTATTAATAGAGAAAAATGTTCACATTTGACCAAAAAAAGAGGCTTGTTTAAAACTGTGAATTTCTGATTTAACATTTAATCCAATACAATTGTTTTTATACATTTATTAACTATTTATAAAAGCCCAAACTAAACGTCAAGTTGATGTAGATATTAAAGGTCTAAAACCAAAAACTGATTTGCTCTATTACGCTATCTAGTATATTTATTTATTGGTTTCGTGTTGTGATGCACAATCAAACAGACAACATAGCAAAATAAAGCAAGGTCATACAAGACCACCTGTCAGGGTTTATCGCTTACCTTCATTTGGCCGAAACAAATTCGACATTCTTCTATAAATCTCCTCGTTACATAGAGAAAGAAAAAAATACGAGTTTTAAATGATGATAGAATATCATGTTTCCAAAAGTAAACTAGAAATTATCAAGAGGTAATAGGACTTACCTCAAGAATTCGCGCGCTTCTGCAGTCAGTGCGATGCGAGCAAGATTAGGCTCATTTCCACGTAAGGTGCATTCATAAGGAATTTTAATAAACGTTTCATTTAACACCCCTAGTTAGCTGAGGGATATCCAAGCACATGACGCATGAATCACATAGACCGGACATAACCCAAAACATCACAATTTTGTCGAAAGGTGACTAACGTTAATTTACTGTATCACGATAGTTCCATGACACGTAAAAAATCTGTTAATTACATTAGCAAAAAGAAACCCACTCTTGAGAGATTTTAATATATTATGATTTATTATTCATCACAACTGTAATTATTAACTACACTGTGAACTTCCTCTTCTGCAGTTTTAGAACAACTTCATCTATGAATTTATTTCATCCTCAACTGTAAATGGTTTCATGTAAACATAAAAAACAAGCATGAGACATACAAAGGACAAGATGAGAAAACTAACCTAAACACATTAAAATGAAAATTAAAATGATTTAAGATCAATTTTACAACATACATTGGGTCATATTTAGCAATGCAGAAATCCTTAAGAGAAGTCAAACTACTTTACACCCAGTCCCAGCTGTCTCAAGAGTGTTAGTAAACCAACACTGGATGGCCTTGCATTAATTATTGGTGAGCACAGCGTCCAAACCATTTTAAGTCCACCGGTCATGCACTTGGTTGGCAGTACAGACAAGATGGTGTTAGTGAAGGTGGCCTGACAGGTGCAAAACCAGGTTTAGGCTAGTGCTTGGAACTTAGAGCAGTTCTTCAGGATAATAAGACATCCACTCCACCTTTCCTTCAACAGTTCCAGTGCTGCTGTCAGCAGTGAAGGTAGTTTGAGCCCCCTGGTGGCCACACCATAAATGTCAACATCTACATTGTGCAGAGAGTTAGGAACATACAATTTGCATAGACATAATTTGCTTGCTTTCCATTTGAATAGTACTGCCTTTAGAGGAAGCAACGACCACTGAGGTCAGTGAGGGCACCACTGACAGGTGAGGCGGAGGTTTGACCCCCTGCAGTTGAGACTGAACAAGTCCAGTAAACACAGGAGACACCATTAAAACATTGACAGAGTATTTGGCTACCATATTGCAACCTAGAAACCACTTCAGGTCTCTTCTGTCTTGACAGAAAATATTCTATATTGAGTAGGAGTCTAGTAAGTATGGTCCAGTCACCTGGTGAATGTATCAGAATAATTCATAATACTGAGGGGTCAGTGGATTACGGTGGAGTTCAATTCGCCAGTGTTCACTTCACATCAAGAGTAACACTGTTTGGGTGAAGGTCGTGTTAAGAATGATATTTTACATGTTTAATTAATACATAAATGTCTAGCACACATTTTATTGATCCATTCCTTTTCTCTCACAACTCTTTGGGATCACTTCCCCCTTCGTTGGGACACAATAATAATAATAATAATAATATTATATAAAAAAAAAGATCAGAATGAAATAATAATCAGTATGAAATCACTATCTCCCATAACACAAATACTGCAGTAATATTAGATAAACTAGTGATTATAAAATGTCTAAAATAAATAACAACTGCTTGTTTTTGTTCTCCGGGATGTTGGGAGAAAAATGTGCAAAAATAATTTTCAGTGCTTAAAAAATAAAAGAAAAATAAATCCTGCGATTAAATACATCGCTCTCCTAAAACCAAGCTCACTGCCATTCCAGTCTACCAGGCCTCTGCATACTTGCATAGAAAAATAAAAAATCTAATCCAAAAGGAGACTAATAATAGCTGTAATAGATAGTATATGGTTTCATCCGATTAAATTAATAGTTTATACATCAAAACATTACAGCCTGAAGCCAAGAGCTTCAAAGGGCAAAGGTTAATGCTACAGTGCTGCACCAAACCCTTCCCGTCCAACAAGGCGCAGACTTCAGGAGTCATGAGAGCTGGATTAGAGAGTGCCCTGCATTAACAAACCGATCAAGGTTAGTGGTGAAAATCAACAGGCCTCAAGTGCATAAATTTATTAAAGTTCTAGTCTGAACTCTACATCCATATCAACATCGAGATAATTAACATCAAACCACAGATATCTGGAGTGACTGACACACTTGGCAGACTTTAACGTTTATGTGATGCAATTTGTTCGAAAAAGAAAGAAATCAAATAAACTCTTGGGCATCAAAAGGGAATTTTTGGTGAGTCTGATGTAATGACAGATTGAGAGTCTTTGAGCAGAGATAGGTGCACTAATCATAAACAGTTTTAATTTCCTTTTAGTAATTATGTTAACTTGGATATTCAAACCTTTTTTATTTTAAATAGACAGTTAAAAGTGGCTCTCTCCACTGTTTTAAAGGAGAACGTACCTTTCCCCCCAGTTCAATTTAGCTCCTCCAGTCCCCCCAACACTTATCAGTTCCTCTTACGAGACCACACCTGTAAAGACGAGCTCCTTTGAGAGACTGAAAAGAGAGAAGAAAGACGAGACCGGTCTGCAGCACAAGACTGTGACACGATTCACTACACTGCCAAGGCACAGACATACAAGAACACACAAACACACACTAACAATCAACAGTACAATGAATAAATAGGTCCTCCAGAGCACTCACAGATAAGTTATGACTAGTCACCGCTGCGCTTTCCTCATCACAGAACAGTTTTATTCAGGTATTCTGGTTGAGACAGCTCTCGGGTGATAGACAGAGGGGGGTTGTGGGGCTGGACTGGCACAGATGGTGCTAGAGGTCTATGTTCACCATGGCACCCAGTATACTAGAATTGACTACTAATTATACAGCTGATCTCATCAATCAGATATCTCCAACTTCAAAAAAACAAAAACAAAAGGCAGAGTAATAACTGCTTCCTGTTTCGGCATTGGGTAAAAGGACAGTGCAGATGAGATGATGAGAGTCGTGGGGCAGATGCAGTGATCCAGTTATCCTTGTGAAATGAGTACTTGAGATGAAATGGACATTCCAGGCGATTCGCTCTCGCTCTCTCTCTCACACTCTTTTCACCAGTCATCAGCCGTTTTGATTCCTTGTCCTCTTTTTTCCACTATTCTCATGCTTTTATTCTTGCTGAAGGAATGACGGGGCAGGAATTAGGCCAAATCTTTTGCTGCTGCGGCTCCGTTCTTCTCCTCAGTCTCTCCTCCTCCCCCTTTGTCTTTTTTCTTACCCCCCTTCTCCTTTTTCTTCTCTTTCTCGGCTTTCTCCTTTTCCTTCTTCATCCTTTCTTTCTCGGTTTTCTCCTTCTCTTTCTTCTCCCGTGATTTTAGCTTCTCCTCCTCTTTCTCTCGCTTCTTGTCCTCCTTGGTTTTCTTTTTCTTTTTTCCATCTTCCTCCACTGCCGTTTTTGCGGTTTCCGGGCAAGGTGGTAATGGGGCGTTGTTTGCGGTGGGCGATGGGATTGTGGGGGTGATGTGCTCAGAGACGACTTTAGGCGACGGCTGAAGCATCTGCGCGCTGGACGCGTGTGCAGTTGGAGCTGGTGGCGTGGTAGTAGATGATGTAGCTAGTGGACTGGGCCCATGCAGCGCTGGGGGACGTCCACCGGCACCAGCGTTAGAGGCAGATGGCACAGGAGGCTTTGAGGCCACTGCACTGGTGCCGCCTACAAGGGGCTGCAGTGGGACGATATCTTGGCCCAAGCTGCCAGAAGTGGTGCCCTTCTTATTCTGTGAGTGAAACGGCATCTTGGACTTTCTAAGGCCAGGAAGTGACAGGAGGCTTGATGACGCACGTAAGGGTCCAGGGGGAGGGATGTGACTGCTCAGGAACGACAGGCTGCCACCAGAGCTGATCGCAGCAGCCCGGTGTTTCTGTTCGAAGATGGCCCGTGTGCCGTGCAAACGCCGACCCGGTTGGTGAGTCAATTCTCCACGAGATTCCCGCCACTTGCGCACCTGAATACCGCACTCCCTCTCGATGAGGGCCTCCGTCACAGACAGAGAGACCACCTGAAAACAGAGCAGAGAGTATGAGAACGGATCTGGCAAACTCTACTGGTACTTCTCTATTGCGTGTAGGGATATGCCAGTATCAAATTTTCATGTTGCAATTTATTGCTAATGCTTTTATCACAGTATACGGTATTATCACGATATTGAAATTTAGTTGCCAAAAAGTGTTGTCATAATACAGTATAACAGGATTAATAAATTATTTCTTATAACAAAAATAACTGAACATTTAAATACAATAAAGCAATACACAAAAAAATGTATAAAGTAAAAAATTTTACACTGATTAAAGTGCAAAAGAATTATAAAGACCAGTAGGTATCACTTTACAATAAGATCTCATTAGTTAACCGTAGTTAATGCATTAACATTCTGAATGAGCAATAGCTACATTTGCTACAGAAGTTATTAATCTTTGTTAAAAAATAGGCTACAACTCTTAGTTCATGTTAACTCATTAAAGGGGTCATATGATGCGATTTCAATTTTTCCTTTCTCTTTGGAGTGATACAAGATCTTGGTGCATAAAGAAGATCTGTAAAGTTGCAAAGACTAAAGTCTCAAATCCAAAGAGATATTCTTTATAAAAGTTAAGAGTCAGCCACACCTACCTAAAACAGCTCGTTCTAACACGCCCCCACGTCTACGTCACTATGTGGGAAGATTTGCATAACGCCGCCCAAATGTTCACACAAAGAAAGAAGGCGTAACTTTTATTCGGGCTGTAGTATTGTTGCTGCCGCCATGTCGTGAAGGCGCTGTGTGTTTCGTTGTGAAAGCGAAACTACTTTGTTTGGTCTTCCAAAAGAGGACGATATCCGCTCACTCAAGCCGGCCTCCGCTCACTCTAGGCC